ACTACCGAAAATTCAAGGCATGATTTGAGCCGCGACGTCTCAAAAGTTTGCAATCCTAGCCCATCAACCTCTAGAAACCTCGGCCTGAGCTTAGGGGATGAGGGCGAGAGAACGACCTACACATCTGAGAGAAATATCCCGAGTAAGAAACGTAAAGCCGAAAGCTTAGATCCCAAACCCACCAAATACATGATGACTAGAAGGAAAACTCGTTTGGCTGCTCGGATTGATTCAGCTACTGAATTTCAAAACCTTATGTTGGGTTCTGATGGTGCAATCAGCGATGTTTCAACATCAAACACAAATTCATTGACTCCAGTTCAAAACAGCGAATCGCTAAGCTATGCAGAACGTTCGATTCCTTCTGACCGGAGGTCTTCAATTCCTTCTGCTCAAACATGTACATCAACAACTCAATTTAAAAAGAAAGGTGCCCCGTATAGAACTTATGTCAGTTCACCTCTGGATGAAGACTCAAGAGACAGTGGTTGTCCTAATACCCCAGGCGAAATTAAAATGGAAGACATCATAGATGTCTTGAACGTTTCAGCTTCTGCACGGCAAGGAGCATCAGAGGAGACATCGTCTCAGAGCCTGGGCCAAGATGCTAGCACATCTCTTGTGGGTGTACAGTTCGACCCATGCGACTTGGCTCCGATCAGCTTTGAGGCTTTCCGAGTTCGTTGTGCGCAGCAATCAATAGAGAACTCTATTTGCCAGACTTGTAATAAAGCAGATGTGAGTATTCATTCTTCTTTAAAATATTCCGGTACCACTTTAGGAGGTAGTTTGCCGTCCAATAGTGTTGAACATTCGGGCGTATGTCCGCATGCATATGTTAACCCTGTTTTAAGCACTCTTCAGCCAGAGTATTTAGGTTCAAACTCTTTGAAATCCCATCTTGCTTCAAATCAAGATGTAGTGGATTATGCTGTTGCGTCTTCTTCAACCGATCGAATATCACCTCAGGAAAAAAATTTGTGTCTAGGTCTAAACGAAGAAGACGTTGTTAATCCAGAAATCGCACTCGAGTATTCTAGTGACGCAGATTTAAGAAGTGAAGTGGTGATAGTGATTGATGAAACAACAGTTGCATCACACTCCGTAGACAGGCTCAGTGAAAGTGATCAGAGTAGTTCTATTATAAAGTCTAAATCTAGGTTAGGAATTTCAAATGAAAATACAAATAGCGAATCAAATGTTTCAATCTTAAACTGTGATACTGAAGAAACCTCTGGAAGCGTCGAGAATTCTGATGGACTATTGTCCAGCACCTCTAAAATGTGTCCCTCTGGACCGTCAGCTAGCGAGGCATCCGCAATAGAGCCCTCCATAGAGACGCATGATCGGCCTGCAGATGATTTTGGATTCAACATAGGAGACTGTGATTTAGATGTGCGAAATTTTGCAAATTTAATCGAAAGTGTCAATTTAGATCAGTTTCCACAAGAATTCAGTGGTATTTTGACAGATGAGGCATCCACTAGTGACACACATTCGGGAAGAATCGCTCCCGCAGACATTAATGGCAACCCACCAATTCGTTCTACTAGCTCCCTGTCCTCTCAATCAGCTGTTTCTGATTCAGGATCTAGAATGGATTCTTCTGGAAGTTTAGAGTCTCACAGTAATAGAAGTAGAGATGATTTAGAAAACAATGAACGTTCCTTCAATCTTGATTTGCCAGCTCCAGACGTTCCAAGTCGAACGTCCCCATCTTTAGATCGACCTGTGACTATAGAGAGTGTGCATCAACGGGGAACTTTTAATTCGTCCGGATCGAGAGAAGCAAACTCGTCAACTTATCTTCGGCAATCCACATATGACGGTCTTCAGCCAAGTTCTGCGAGTGATCTCGATGTAATAATATCAACGCCTGCAGCTCTTGGATATTCACAATCGCGAGTCGAAGATCAGGTTTCTTCGTCCTCGTCATCTCTGCCATCTTATGTCGCTCCTAATTCATTTTCTAATACTACTAGCGCTCCTACATACGATTCTTTATGGCCTCAGAATTCAAGTTCAACATATTCTAGTGTCTCGTCTCATTTTCCATACTCGTCGAATTCGGGGAGGTATTCTAATTACACATCCATGAGCTCCTCGAATGCCTACCAATGGTACCGAAGCCCTTACTGGTCTTCAGTGAATAATTCGTGGATGCATTCTCCGTACTACGCGCCTTCAAGTCAATCGTGGTATTCCAGCCTCGACCAACTCTGGCCTACGTTCGGCAGCAATTCCTGGGGACCTTCCTGGAATAACTACGGGTCTTCATCGCAAGGCAGCCGGGAGGTGAACATCAGTGTTGCATGCCAGATTTTTTACCTAATTTCTTGTTTTATTTCTAAGGGATTGAAGGTTCTGCTGGTTGTACGATTTCGTGTTTTTTGTAATTTAATATGAGGGTAGTTTCTGAATTACGCTTTAATTCTTAATTGACAGTGTCAATGCTGAGGTTGTGTTGATGCAGAGGCTGTGTCGATGCAGAGGCTGTGTCGATGCAGAGGCTGTGTCGATACAGAGGCTGTGTTGGTGCAGAGGCTGTGTCGGTGCAGAGGCTGTGTCAATGCAGAGGCTGTGTCGAGGCAGAGGCTGTGTCGGTGCAGAGGCTGTGTTGATGAAGAGGCTGTGTCGGTGCAGAGGCTGTGTCGGTGCAGAGGCTGTGTCGATACAGAGGCTGTGTCAATGCAGAGGCTGTGTCAATGCAGAGGTGTGTCGAGGCAGAGGCTGTGTCGGTGCAGAGGCTGTCTCGAGGCAGAGGCTGTCTCGAGGCAGAGGCTGTGTCGATGCAGAGGCTGTGTCGACGCAGAGGCTGTGTCGATGCAGAGGCTGTGTCGATGCAGGGGCTGTGTCGGTGCAGAGGCTGTGTCGGTGCAGATCGAGGCTGTGTCGGTGCAGAGGCTGTGTCGATGCAGAGTCCGTGTCGCGACCGGCCGCCCGCATCCTGCGTACGGGGTTGTAGCGGAACGCGGGTATCCGGTATACGCGGCGCGTCTCAGTCCGCCTAGGCCAACGGGACAATTGAGCCCTCGTCGCAGTTGTTGCTCCGGCTGGCATAGTGAGAAAATAGTACGCCACCTTTGTTTCAGAGTGCTGGGATGTGAAATGTATTGTGAATGCGGAGGGTATGGTGAAAGTAGAGTGCTGGCTGCCGGGTAGTGCCATCACTGCCAGAAGTAAGATTATACTGACAGCTCGCGTCCTCTTTTTGACAGAGTCGGTGTCCACACCTGGCTGCATTTCCGATGGTTTCCAGTGGTGTGTACGTAAAAAGCGTATTTTGCTCATTGCTTGGCCATAATTACTGATGGTGCCGTATAATTCAGTCTACTGTCCGGACGATGTTTTTCCAAAATGTTGTTATTTCCATAGTTGCGTTAAAGATTAGACCAAGTCAGTCTGGTCTGTCGCAGATTCATGCTATGATCGTGAGCCACTCACTCACAATAGGTATTGAATGTGTCGTTAGATCAGATCTATCCAAACTGCCTCTGATGCTTTAAAGTCTGCTAGTTATTTTCTGGTAGTGAGAACTCCACACATTTTTATCGCTATCGCTTACGAAAAATTATCTTGACAATACATCTATTTGGTATTTTGTTTCCAACTAATGTGTCGTGTTGAGAAACAACAGTTAAATGGGAGTTCTGTGATCCATGTAAAATTTGATTTGAACGGGTAACTTTTTTAATTGTATACATAAGCTTTATTATTATCTACGGAATTGTGGACAACTGGAATTACGGGATCCGGAAAAAGTAGATACTAAAATTACAGGGTTTATCAAGTTCGAGCAGTGTCGCGTTTTATATAAATTAGTTTTTATACAGTGCATTATTAGAGATAGTAAATATTTTATTATATATGTAAAGTACGATCTTTAGTGATTATATCGGGTCGCCTGCCGAAGACCACCACTGCCCTGGATGTAATGGACCATCATGATTCCTGCCTTCCGGAACGTAGCCTTCAACACTTCAAGCCGTCCGTATCTAGGCCATGGGTCGAACCAGCCCTCGGTCGAACGGCAACTTGTCGAAGGACGATAAATTTTGGAACAGAACTATGCTATCTGAAACCTAACCTCAGATGCAATGAACGTAAAATTACGTAATTTAACGATGCCTGGAAGTCATATTCGATCCGCGGCCTGGTGGTAAACGGCTGGTGGTGGTCAAGGCCGGAAGAGGACAAAGCCAAGTGGTGCGCGGCTGATTGGTGTAGGTCCGGAGAGATCCAAGGCGTTCAATTCAGGGCTTATTGGTACACAAAATTGGTGGTGCACGGCTGCGCTCTCCTTGCTACATTGCCTTGAATTAGTTGAATATAAAGCAAATGGTTTTTGTTGCTCTTTATAGGGTAAAATTGAAGATATAACTCTAAACATTTTGGGATTTGACCATCAACTTTACATTTTATAAAATACATTCACATCTTGAAAACTGAACTTACAGTTACAAATTTGATGAATTGACAGCACCAAAAAACACAGTTGCAGCTCAGAGAGTCAATCTTTTTCACATTAGATTGCAACTTCAATATTATCAAAAAGCAGTTTGGATTTCTATATTTCTGAATTCTGATCAAACCAAAATACTCAATTTTTGAGTTTGGAGGTACACTATTTCAAATACACTGAAATTATATGATTTTCATGCCATGAGGATGCAGGATTTTTCCAATCTTAACTCAATCTAAAAATATTAGCTCAGACATAAAGAGAAAATACTGGCAACTTCAGTTGCACTTTCTTCGAGAGCCCTATGAGTAAGTAGCTCAGTGAATTAGTAAAATTTTGATTGTATTTGCCGCATTGTAATAATAACATATTTTGGCCTTTATGACAGGGAAGGTGGCCAAACGCAAAGTTTTAGAGATTACTTTCCAATATATATGTGTCCATTCCATTCAGTTTTATGTCTGAACAATTCCTCAACCACTTTCTAATGTTTCAGTAAAAATTTTCTGAACTTGAACATTAGCATTGCTGTTTAGTGATGGCATCAAACACCAGCTATGATGAGGATAAGGAGAATTGGAGGGAAAGAGCTGAGGTGGTCACCAAGCTGTCGCATCATGCTTACCTGGAGTATGCGTCTGAGGTGATAGAGGAAGCTGTCAGGAACGTCACAGTGCTCAGGAACAAGACCAATATACCACAGAGCTCTGTGACTCTGGGCACTCCTCAGCTCAACAAACTGAAACTAGCTCATCTCATGCGAAATCCTGGCATAATGGCAAGCCCAAGTAAGACCTGTACCCTTTGTCACTATGTTGAATGGTATAAAGGTTTAGCATCAAATGGCCATTGAACAGTACTATTTAATGTGCATTGTAAATGAGTTAATGAGGCACATTTCTAGGTTGAATGACATTTTAATCACAAATTAAATTATTATTCAACAGATTTATCATCATAAACCTGTGTAATTGTTTCTGTATGTCAATTTTAAATGGTTTGACATGACATTGACAAACTTTGTGCAATATATATATATATATATATATATATATGTATATATGTGCTGTGCTGCGAAGTGGTGCTGTGCTATGCTGTGGTGCTGTGCTGTGGGGCTGTGCTGTGCTGTGGTGCTGTGCTGTGCTGTGCTGCGAAGTGGTGCTGTGCTGTGCTGTGCTGTGCTGTGCTGCGCTGTGAAGTGGTTCTGTGCTATGCTGTGCTGTGGGGCTGTGCTGTGCTGTGCTGTGGTGCTGTGCTATGCTGTGGTGCTGTGCTGTGGGGCTGTGCTGTGCTATGGTGCTGTGGTGTTGTGCTGTGCTGCGCTGTGCAGTGGTTCTGTGCTATGCTGTGCTGTGGTGCTGTACTGTGCTGCTGTACTGTGCCGCTGCATGGAGGCAGGCATACTTACCGTGGAGGTATGCACGGTAAGCAGAAGAAACACTTCGTTATGTATGACTCAAAGCTCATCACATGTTCCAAGAGAGCATAAACGTCTGGGAACTCATGAAAAAAAATAAAGCAAATAAAACTTGACGCAGCTACTCAAGCACGGCGAGACGAGAACATGAATCTTCCTAATCTTGTGTACCGATGTAGCGATAGCGAACATTGGAGACAGAATATCGCTACATTTCGAAGATGACGAACGCGTCTTCTCGTACACTAGGAATTTTGACTCGGCTAAAAATATTAAAAGTGGGAAATACATTTCCGTGGAGACCGCTACTACAATTTGGGTGCAAAATTATATATCGCACTATGCCCAGCACATAACTATGTCAACTCTAAATAAAACGAATTGCATAAAATGACATAATTCATTGATAGCAATAGCATTCATTCAAATGGGACAAATTGTTCCTACATTTATACAGTTTGTCAACGATTTCACGTTATTATCAAGGATCTCCTGATTAATTCAGTCCGAATTTTCAGTCTGTGCACAGTTTTAATATTTTCTTTGATGTATCTTCTTTTGATGACAGTCTTGAAATTATGTCTTCCCATTTGCCTTATATCATTATGTCTTCGAAGCCATCTGAGTATGAACGGAATAATTCACATATATTTTGATTGGAGAATTATCTACCTCAGTAGATAGTCTCGAAATTAGCTTGTATGCTCCTGCGCTTCTCTCGTTTGGCAACATGGCTGTCCGGCGATGTGGCAACGTTGCGGTGGTGGTGAAGTCAATACGGGGTGTATGCGCGACAGAGGGGTCAGTGCGAGGGTAGATCGTGGGACGAGTAGGTGTCGCATTTCCTACCTTTACTTCATCTGATCATCTCAAAGTTACACACTCCTTGTCATGATAATCGTACGTGATGATCTCATAAGTATTTAACCTGTGCTTCTTAATGTGCAATTTATCGTAGAATACTGTGTGCTGTGCAATAATAGCCTTTTTTGTTGATATTAATGGTAGTGAGCTTTAGTTAGGCGCAATTTGCGTTAGTCATTTCGATTGTCGGTAATTACCAAGTACCAAAGAACGAACGAAACAAGTATTCGCACCTTTCGATCTTCAGTGTAAAGTTTAACTCTTCTTCGTATTTCGGATTCCTTTGCTTGAAAATTTCTGCTTGAGATTAGAAAATGAGTGTTCATGAATACGAAACATGAAAACAGCCAGCTCGGTGATGCGGTGTGTGGTGCCAGACTGCCAGTGATGTGCTGCTTGAGTGCCAGGGAGCTGTGGTAAACTTTGGGCGCGTATTATACTTCATTGTGAATGCTCCCAATAATGTTGAAGTCTTATTATGACCAAACCGCCAATCAAGCGTGATCAAGGCATATGATGTACATATACATACCGGTGAGTGTTATCATAGCGCGATGGCAACGCTTCACTCTTCTAACCTCAATTCTACACACGCAAGTCATCTTTTTAAGTTGCCAGCCTAATATAAAGAGAATCTATTCTATTAACAGCAGCAAGACAAAATCTATTAGGATCAAAGTGGCTCTGCAATTTTAATGTGATGAAAGCATAAATAGAACAATTCAATCTTACATTTGAGTCAAATTATTTGATCAGTGGTGGCATAACAGAGATTTTTAAAAACCATTTAATTTTCAATTTCTTCATCTACTCAATATTATAATCAATTTCTTATGTATTATTAGGTATGCAGGTCTGAGGTATCCTGCCATGGAATATATCTAATATTCAAGCCACCTCAAGCTCAAGACAAATAAAGGTCTACAGCTGCAGCTGCCTGAGCTGGCCTAGTCTAACAAGTCTAGAGTTTTTCAGCCTTTTTTCAGAGCTGTAAGATTCTGGTGCACCTCGCCAGATGAATTATCTCCTATCTAATTGTTAATAAAGCTGTACAGTGTACACAGAGTTGGACAGTAGCGTGCTACATGTAGTGGTAGCAGCGCTACATTTAAGCAACTGTTATGCAGTAGCGGTAGCACCCGCTACATATTTAAGTAGCAATACAAGGTGTTGCCGCTACAGCGCTACCGCTACATTTATCGATAAAGCCTTTAGATGTTACTTAATAGTATCAAATATTTTTAATGCTATGAAAAAACAGTACGAAAGATTTTGGTGTAATGTTGTCAACCTCAGCCCATTACTAGTGTCAACATGTTAGTTGTTAGCAGAGGTGGGCAGTAGCGCACTACATGTTGCGGCCGCTACATTTTCAGTAGTGCTAGCGGTAGCGGCGCTACATTTAAGCAATTGTAGCGGTAGCGGTAGTGCCCGCTACATTTAGAGCATGTAGCGACAGCGGTAGTGGCCTCTACATTTCGAAGTAGCACTGCCCAGCTCTGGCTGTACAACCATGCCACAAGATTTGAAATGTATAAAAAATTTGTCACTTTGGAGCTGCAAGATTTGATTTATAAGTAAGAAAATTCCAAATCTGCAATGGTATCGAAGATACATCCCAGTCTTTTTATAAGACTCAAAGTCCTTGCCCCTTCCTCATGTTTTGAGAGAGAGCAACAAAAAATGTTCTCCTTTGCCACTATGAGTCTCATACTGTTCTTGATGACGACTTGACAAGCACTGAAGCAGTGATTTAAGCATGTAGATGCTTGCTGATTGACAGCTTCATTGACTTGTGTCATTTGTGTGCCATGGTAAATTTAATTAGTATCCAAGCTATTTCATATAATATAAAATAAATGTGTTATAATGACATATGTATATTATTGTATTCTCACATGGAGCCCAATATTCTGTTTATAATACCATCAAAGGCATTAATGATGCATAAAAAGTTATCTATCCCTCATTCTCAGCAGGATTGGGATTTGCCTACCTACTTCTGAAGTTGCAAGCCTCTAAAGTGACAAAAATTTTACTACATTGTGAATCTTGTAGCCTGTTTTTAGATGTTTAAGTATTTTAAGGAATACTCTTGTGTATTAAAGCAATATTTGCATTTTTAAAAAGCAGTGGCCAGTTATTTTTAGTGCATTTTCTCATTTATGGAAAAAATGCACTATTGTGCTTGCCATGTCTGTCTGTCTGTCCGTCCGTGACCACGTTTTTGTCAACGAGAAAATGCGCTCTCTGTCACTCACTGCAGTGAGTACTAAGTTATATTTTTTATATGTTTTTGGCTGCGCTGCATCCCATCTGGAATACTGGGAAAATTGTACAAAAATTGTTAGTAAAAACTATCGTATTATAGGCAATTTTTGCAAATCAGTTGCAAAAATGTGTTTTTTTTTCTAAATTGTTTGAAGAAATTGGATGAGGGCCATTAAAATGGTTCAATAATTGACTGCATGCATGGGCATTTTCCAATTTAGAATATTTGACACAAGTTTCCTAAAATTGCACAAAAAATATCATTTCATTAGTGATTTTTGAAAATTGCAGGCAAAGATAGGCCATTTTTCTTATTTTTTCATGACAAAATTTGGAAAGGCCATGGGAATGTGTGAAATTGGCTAGATCCACAGGAATTTTTGTTCAATCCATGGTTAGCTTCTGTCCAAGTTTGAAATTCCACACACAAGAATATGGTGGCTTCCAAAATGCTAACTTTAACACCACTTCCTTGAAATTCCACACACAAGAATATGGTGGTTTCCAAAATGCTAACTTTAACACCTGTCTCTTATACACATCTAGATGTGTATAAGAGACAGCTTTAACACCACTTACTTGGAATTCCACACACAAGAATATGGTGGCTTCCAAAATGCTAACTTTAACACCACTTACTTGGTTCCAATAAAATTCATATGAAAAAATAAATGACATATATATGTTTCTGAGTAGATGTTGGACACCAGACTCGTTCTTTTTAAGGTTCCATCTTATTGACACTAGGTAGTAGGTAGTACAACTACATTATGATAGAATTTTTAATGTTTAGCTAATGTTAAATTTTTTACTACATCCAAGTCAGATCTTTTTACTACATCCAAGTCAGTCCATTCAAGTCAGATCTTTTGGATAGATTTGAATTTTTGCAGACCAGGCATTCACTTTTGTTAACAATTAGAATAGACTCAATAGAGGATAATTCTTCTAGCAGAAATCTCGAGGCTTCAAAAAATGGCCGGAAATTTTAGTTGCGGCTTGGAGGATAGATATTTTTCAGGCCTGCATAAAGGTACCAATAAAAAATGTATGGTGTTTGAATATGGTATTTGTCTTGTTTCGTATCTTATATTGATCTCTTTTTGATATTGAGTTTAGGCTGATGAAAAGTGCTGCCTATCAACTTGTTATTGAGGTCATATCACTTCATGTTATTGCTGTGTAGTTGCTTGACTGAGTTGTGTTTAGTCAACAATTTACTCCTG